CACACACACACACACACACACACACACACACACACACACACACACACACACACACACACACACACACACACACACACACACACAGAGACACACCAACTTACATGCACACAAAAACACACCCACACAAACTTACACACACCCATGGGAGGACGCTCAAACAATATGCACAAAAACACACAATGTCACACACAAACTTACACACACACTTGAGGACACACCCCCCCCCCCCCCCTTCGAGATCATCATCATCAGAAAGAGCAGAGGTCACTGAGTAGAAGCAGCTTCCTGGAGACGTTCAGCTACTGACCTGTAGGGGGCGACCACACACACACCATCTGGTTTATAGACATACCCGGGTCCATACATTCACAAGTCTGGGTTTCAGACAGAGGTGGGGTCCAAACATTCACAAGTCTGGGTTTCAGACAGAATCAAATATCAGGAAACAGAGATATGCAGCACTGAGTATATAAGTGGGTTTAAACAACACAAAGCTAAATGGCTTCACAGCGTTAGCATCAGTGGCGTAGCGGAGGCCCCCGCACCCCCCGTGGTGCGGGGGAGCCCCGGAGCTTAGGGGACCCCGCCCCCACTGTAGGCTATCCTCTTAGATTTCGTAACGCGGGAACAGGGTGCAGAGGGCGGGGCCCCCCCCCTCCCTGCTATGTTGCTACGTCATGTGTACGCTGCCTGTAGTAGTACAACAGTGTATCATTATAATTATTTGCTCATCTGCGATAGGGCTAGCCGGCTGATAACTAATGTTCATTGGCAGGCTGGGCAGCGTTCAAAACAAAGCGGGAAGCATTGCTCATATAAATAACGTTCATTAGTTGCGTTGCCGGTAAACATGAAAAATGAAGCGCCACTACCCAAGCGGTGCTCAGAAAAGCAAAATGAGAGCGAAAGCCGAACAGGAGAGGGCAAAACTACCTAAAATAACGTCATTGTTCCGGCAGGCAGCAAAGGTAGACGTAGACTCTAACGTTACTGCAGATAGACCGCTAGCAACCCCCCCCCGGCCCCCGGCCGTCAGCTCCGAGTCCAGGCAGACAGCCCAGCAGCCCCGTTACAGCCGAGCCAGCTAGTCGTGCCTCGCGCTTCGAGACAGGTTAGACATTAGAATAATATAAAGTTTTATTCGCCATAACCAGTATGCTACAGGTTACATTGGAATTGGAATCTAATCCGTTCATTTTTGCAGGTCAGCAAGAAGTCAGCTGTGCCCCCTCCGAGGCCAGTTCAGACATAGGCATAGACAAAGCTGCCCAGCCAGCTAGCTGTGCCCCCACAGACCCCAGCAGCCCCGTTACAAACGGTACATTCTGAATAACGGGCCATGCAAGCCTGAAGGGCCATTCAAAAGGGATGGGAAGGGAAGGTGCTTTTCAAAAGAGTTCTATAACAAAACATCCAAAATTGGATATAGAATTCCACGAAAGTGGCTATGTTACTCGCCATCTATGGACCGGGTGTACTGTGAGCAGTGCTGGCTGTTCGGTGACAGACCGTCTGCCCATCACCTCCACCAAGCGTGGAGAATAGGAATAAATGATTGGCAGGGTCTCTCTAAAAAGATTAAGGAACACGAATTCTCTCGCTCTCATTTGGCAGCATGTGTCGTGTATGATACGTGGAAAAATAATCTGACCATTGACGCGCAAATATCATCTGAGTTTAAGAGAGAGGTGGGGTTTTGGACCGAGGTCCTAACCAGAATAACTGATGTTACACTAACACTGGCCTCTCGCAACTCTGCTTTCCGGGGTCACAGAGAGAAAATAGGTGATATAGATAATGGTAATTTCTTATCTACCATAGAACTTATGGCGCGTTATGATCCAGTTCTGCAAAGGCTTATTGAAAGCAAAAAGAAGGTGCACTACCTAAGTCCTCAAACTCAAAACGAAATAATTTCATTGCTATCGAAAAAAGTGCAGGACACAATCATTACAGACATACAGAATGCAGAATTCTATTCGATTATAATGGATACTACCCAGGACATTTCAAAAGTAGACCAACTGAGTCAAGTGTTCAGATATGTTACTATAGCAAATGATGAAAATGGAAACCCTACAGAGGTGAAAATAAACGAAAGTTTTTTGGGCTTCCATGCAGTCACAGACCAAACTGCTGCAGGTCTAGAGAGAGAAATTCTCGAATCGATGGAGAGAAAGGGGATACTACTTGGGAAGTGCCGTGGACAAGGATATGACGGGGCTAGCAATATGAGTGGCGTCTACTCCGGTGTACAAAAACGCATAAGGGATAAAGAGCCCAACGCAGTGTACATTCATTGTGCTGCGCACAATTTAAACCTTGTACTCAATGACACATGCCAAAATATACCTGAGATAAAAGACTTCTACGACACTGTTGAAAGGCTATATGTATTCTTTAGTGGAAGCATCAAACGATGGGAGCTTTTGGAAACACGCCTCTCAGTGCCCAAGGCTGGCCAGCCTACACTGAAGAGACTATGCCCGACACGATGGGC